ATCATGCACTGATTTTAATGCACATTCACAGACCATTAACCAGAGTCCATGTTGGGGACTACTTATTGTGAATCTAATGCTCTTGTTGCTAAATTTTCTGCAATTAAAGTAATATCTCCAATTGGATTTTTTAAGAATATGCTCATTTTTCTTTTGTCATTACAAAAGGCTGCATAATTGGATCCGTGTTTGCAAGTGAGTTTTCTCTTTGCAACGCATTCATCATTGTTTATTGATCATTTCTATCGATAACTGGAGTTTGATCTATGTTTCATTCAGTTCTTGTTGGAATTGTTCAATGGAGTTTCGAATGAATTAGTCCGCTCAAAACGTGGACCTACTCAATATCTTCAATTCTATTATTCTATACATTTTGACTGATAATTATATATTCATAAATAATTTGTAATGAGAAGTTGGTAAATAAATAACATTAAGTCGATTAAGTCGTTTTCATGACATTTATTATGAAATGTGCATTGTTTTCCCTAAAGCACGTGCATATATGTAACCTATTAAAATAATTTTCTCGAGAAAATGAATGCCACCCAGATATGCTCAAAGTATCATTCGTGTGTCATTCATCTTTCAACTATCTGCAGTAATGATTTCAGGTTCTTAAATTGAACAATTCATGGTTAAATCATTTACTTGAATCACATGTTTTGGTGGTGAGAAAAATTGATTGAATATCAGATGCCAATAACTCCGGTTTGCATACCTCAGATTGAGGCATTCACTCCAACCTTTATAACATTTCGTCGTTACATAAGAGAAATGATAAAATTTTTCTAATGCGTTATAATTAAAAGGAATTTGGGTGCAATTGAAGTTTTAAATAAAGATTTATAAGCCGATTAGCATCTCGGCATAGGAGAACTCATTTTCCCTATCACCTGTGGTCAATTGAATTTGTGTGCTTCTTGTCTTTTCCTACACTTCGAATAAATGTTTGTCTAAGCGGTGTTATAAGCTTGTGCTTAACATTTACTTCCAATTTTACTCAATTTCCAAAGTACGTGAAGCTTTACAGAAAACGTAAAAACTGTTTCATAGAGAAAATTTGCGCAATTTTCACAAATTTGGCATTTTTGGGCAATAGAAATTAAGCTGTCGTATTCACAGCCACGATGTAGGATTTTTGCTTCTATAGAGCTATTTCCTTGCTTCTGAACTGTAGATGAGGAAATACATTTAGTAAATTTTGAGATGATCGGAAGAATGTCTATTAGTTGATTACTCAACGTGTGCTCTTGCTGGTGCCATAAAGGCATCCCGTAGTGCTGATAAACGGTGTGACGAGGTATTTTTTCCTCAGAGATGGGGAGGGAGAAAGTATGTAAAGTGGTGAAAGCTTCGAATGAGAGAAAGAAGCTGATGGAGCTGACTGCAGGTAAAATAGAGAGTGAATATCTTGGGAAGGAATTAATTTTATGATTTATTTATTTGCAATGCATGGACCGGCCGATGTCTTTCCACACAATGAAGGCCTTAATCAGGAGAGAATTCCAGACCTCAAGGTGTCACGAAATTAAAGCTCGAACAAAAGAGAAACACTGGACAGTGGCACTCTCCGACATACCCGACTGGCCAAGAATCGAAGCCGTTGCTGAGTTCAGACTACGTACCGGACACGATTGCTTGGCAAAACACCTTCACAGATTTGGAGTATATACTCAACCCACATGCCCTCTATGTAACCTACAGGAGGCAATGGAGAAGGCCCACCTGATTCGGTGTCCAGCCCTAAAGACTAGGACGGAAAGCCAAAGATACTGGGAAGCAAGAAGACAGTTAATGAATTGCTATTAATTAACTGCTATAAATGTNGGCTAAACGAGAATTTTGCATCCATTCAAAGCAATAGCCTGTGGGACACGTCATCGCATGCGTGTACACATAGGCTTGAGGTGCGGCCGTACAGCTTCACGTACGGATTGAGAACAAGAGCACGCAGCCAATAGCAGCTCAAGGGCCCTTGTTTGTTTTAACGAAAGCCGCCATGTTGTATGACTGAGTTTCCTACCTGTACACACTTCTTGCGTGGTTTATCTACTGAATAAACGTGCTCCGTTCTACGCGTCTGTTTCTTTTATAGGTGGGCCATACCTTAGCTGGTTCTGGGAGTCTAGCTAGATGTTGGAGAATCTGCCATAGAGATTTCTGAGTCAGTCAGGCTTTACTAACCTAGCAATCCGCTACAGGTCTGAGCGCAACATTACAAAACTTTAAATTGAAAAATCATTAACAACTGTTTGTAGACTTGGCAAATAATCATTCCAATTGAAAGTTGCGATTTATATCAGTATCCTATTTATAATGTATATGTTTTATTTTGTAAACATTAATTTGTGTTCAATTTAAGCACAATTTATTGACAGCAATATATTTAATTCCTTAATTGTTTGGATTCACGTGGTTAATAGAGAGTATCTGCCACGTTAGCTGGTTGTAATTAACTATGAAACCTTTTTATTAAAATATGCAATAATTAGGTTACGATTTCAGTGCGCTCTATTAAGTAAATGGAGAAGTCTAATATAATTTTTGAGTTCTTAATAAAGGGAGTTTAATATTCGAGCAAATTAAATTTCTCCCAAGAAGTGTTATTAATTGGGTCTACCCTAAAAGACAAATCTAAATCATGATTCGCACACTTTGAGAAACGTGAAATGGTGTCTATATTTTCCATGGATTTGCATTGAAAATTGTTGTAACGCTATTTTAACAAAGGGATAAGAGGTGAAATAAAGCAATATTGAGTTAAAATTTGTTTGAATATTTTTTCCCATTTATCAATTCGTTGTCAATTAAATCCATTTAAGATTGTTTTTTTTATTTTGCGTGCCTTTTAAAAATAAGCTCTACAAGAAACATAATTGGCAGATTCCCCAACATCTAGCTAGACTCCCAGAACAAGCTAAGCTATAGCCCAGCTATAAGGGAAGCAGACGTGTAGCACGGAGTACGTTTATTCGGTACGTATATTGATAGCAAAGTGTTAAGTTTGGCAAAGCGATTAGTTATCAGATAACTCTAGCATAATTCGTGTGAACATTAATAGCTGAAATATTTCTGAGTAGGGTTCTATAGCAGGATTTCTATTTGGTCATTTATGATGTGTCCCACAAGGTTACGATTTCAGTGCGCTCTAGTAAGTAAATGGAGACGTCTGATATAATTTTTGAGTTTGTAATAAAGGGAGTTTAATATTCGAGCAAATTAAATTTCTCCCAAGAACTGTTATTAGTTGGGTCTACCCTAAAAGACAAATCTAAAGCATGATTCGCACACTTTGAGGAAGGTGTCATGGTGTCTATTTTTTCCATGGATTTGCATTGAAACTTATTCTAACGCAATATTAACAAAGGGTTAAGAGATGAAATAAAGCAATATTGAGTTAAAATTTATTTAAATATTTTTTTCGTATTAATAAATTCGTTATCAATTAAATTTATTTAAAATCGTTTTCTTTATTTTGCGTGCCTTTTAAAAATAAGCATAACAAGAAACAAATACAACATTTGTGTCATAATTTGTTGCATTCATTGAAAAAACATTGAGTGATTATGAGAGAAGCTAAATAAAGTAAAATCAATTTTATGGGAATTATTAAAATCAAAGTCACGAAAAAGGATAATTTATGTTTAAACTTTTTAAATGGGTTAAATTGCTTTTTACAAAAATGAGCGTTTGCGCAACTGATTGTTCAATAAAGTAAAAAGCAATGTTAAAATTGCACTAAATAAATTCATTTAAATTTTCATCGTTTTCCGAAGTTGAGTATATAGTCCTAGACGTTAAGTAGCTGAAGCCCTAATTTGGGAAATGATATGAGAATCGAAACATTATTAACATTGTTAGAAACCTTTTGACTAATTCAAATGCATCTTGATTTGTCCATCTGTTTGAAACATCTAATATGTTTCCTTTATCCAAACAAAACCTTGTCAAAATCTAACTAAAGATGAACATTTGAAATATACTCTGAAATCACTTCTTTAAGTCATTTTTTGAGTGGGTTCTTTCACCTGATATGCATTCGCATCGGGCAATTTGAATTTTACTATATCATGAAAATTGAACGACATTTGAAGCAATGAATGCACAGACAGGCAGACAGGCATATTAAATAGCAATAGTAGTAAATACTTCTCGGTGAATGTTGATTTCTTTTTAGATATTCTTCCACATCGCATAAGCAATAATGATTATTGCAGCAAAGTTGTTTATTCATGAACAAATATACGAAGTCTCGATGAGAGATAATTTAAAAGAATTTATTATACTTTGTCAATCATCCATTAATAACACAAAACATTGTTTATTTTATTGGCACTTTATCATACTTTTTAATATTTCCTTCAATCTGTTTGGTTACAGCAAATTTATACTCATCTTAAATAGTTTTGTTTTGTTAAATGTTTGTAAATACACATTATATGTGCTGTTAATTAATTACAAAACCTTTTCTCACTAAAACATGATATAATCGTGTTATAATGTCTGGGCATTGGATCAATTTATTTAGCTTCTAATTACCATTTTGAGAGCATGACAAAATTTCTTCAATAACTCAGAAAATTAGATAATGTTTCAATTGTGCGATAATAAAGACCCCTTAAAAAACCTTTTCAATGAGTAATTAAGATACATTTAAATAAACGAAGTTAAAAACTACACTTTCACTAGAAATCTTTTGGCACTTTGCAAAAACAATATGGGCATATAATCAGTAGGTATGATAAATTGAAATTTTGAAAGTCGCAACGATATCAAACTCGATATAAAATTGTTTGTTGATTTAAAAAAAATTTATTGGGTTGGCAACTAGGTCATTGCCTTTTTTGTTGACAGATTCACTCTATACTTTCTTTTGTTTTGCTAACGTGGCCAGAGCATCTAACCTATATTTTTTTCTTACTGTATGGGCTTCTAGGTTAATTAGTAAACAATTTTTTTGTTTAGTTCTTTAGTTTTGTTTTTATCCCAATTTATAAATGAAAGAACAGAACGTGCACTTCCGACACATTTTATTGTATTACTTCCGAAAAGGCAAGAACGCATCGCAAGCACAAAAGAAGTTATGTGCCGTATATGAAGATGAAGCCTTAAAAGAAAGGCAGTTTCGAAATTGGTTTGAAAGATTTCGTTCCGGNACAAAAGAGAAACACTGGACAGTGGCACTCTCCGACATACCCGACTGGCCAAGAATCGAAGCCGTTGCTGAGTTCAGACTACGTACCGGACACGATTGCTTGGCAAAACACCTTCACAGATTTGGAGTATATACTCAACCCACATGCCCTCTATGTAACCTACAGGAGGCAATGGAGAAGGCCCACCTGATTCGGTGTCCAGCCCTAAAGACTAGGACGGAAAGCCAAAGATACTGGGAAGCAAGAAGACAGTTAATGAATTGCTATTAATTAACTGCTATAAATGTACCCCCCCCCCCTCTTGGGGTAAGGTGAAGTCAAAGATTAAGGGCTAATGAAAAATATCATAAAGCCCGCCATTTGAAATAAATAAATTAATTAATTTTATGAAATTTGCAACCTGAAACTATTTTGCGTTATAATTACCTAATTACCAGTCGGAAAATGTTGAATGAGAGATTGTTGTAAATCGATTTATTTAATTGACAAGCTTTCGATTCGCCACATTTAGATATCTTGGTCTTGACCTTGCGGAATTTAAAATCCACTTTTATCTTATATGTAAGTTTTGAAAATGGAACAGCAATACCCGATAGATCTCCTATTGTTGCGTCGATGGATAGCGATTTTGCCACTTCATAAAATGAGGAATCACAATTGTTACATTTTCAAATCGTTGGACATTTTCTTATTCAGCTCAAGCGTCATGCTTAGCACACATATCCGGTTGCATACAGAATTGGAATTGATTTTTTCAGTCTATCCTAAATTAATATCTCCACAAATACTATTGGGTTGGCAACTAAGGCATTGCCGTTTTTGTTGACAGATTCACTCTATACTTTCTTTTCTTTCGTTAACGTGGCCAGAGCATCTAACTTATATTTTTTTCTTACTGTATGGGCTTCTAGGTTAATTAGTAAAAATTGTTTTTGTTTAGTTCTTTAGTTTTGTTTTTATCCCAATTTAAAAATGAAAGAACAGGACGTGCACTTCCGACACATTTTATTGTATTACTTCCGAAAAGGCAAGAACGCATCGCAAGCACAAAAGAAGTTATGTGCCGTATATGGAGATGAAGCCTTAAAAGAAAGGCAGTGTCGAAATTGGTTCGAAAGATTTCGTTCCGGTGATTTTTCACTGAAAAATTCACAACGATCTGGCCGCCCAGTCGAAGTGGATGAAACCCATATCAAGGCCATTATCGATTCAAATCGTCACAGCACAACACGAGATATTGCGGAGAAGCTCAATGTCTCGCATACATGCATTGAAAAAAAAATTAAAAACCCTTGGTTATGTCAAGAAACTTGATTTATGGATCCCTCACCAGTTAAAGGAAATTCATTTAACGCAACGGATTAGCATCTGTGATTCGCCGCCACTGAAACGCAATGAGAATGATCCATTTCTGAAGAACCTAGTTACTGGCGACGAAAAGTGGATAGTTTATAACAATGTTACTCGCAAGAGATCATGGGTGAAGCAGGATCAACCAGCCCAAACAGTATCAAANAATTTCGTTGCACCTTGAGGTCTGGAATTCACTTCTGATTAAGTCCTTCATTGTGTGGAAAGACATCTGCTGGTCCATGCATTGCAAAATCGTTGTCTNAACGATAAATTCAAATGTGTATGTTGAACAACAGGAAAAATTGAAGGATGCAATCGAAGATAAGCGGCCGCCATTATCAAATCAAAAGGGTGTTGTTTTCCATCATGATAACGCAAGGTCCCACACATCTCTGGTTACTCGGCAAAAATTATTGGAACTGGGTTGGGATGTTTTGTCGCACCCACCATATAGCCCTGACCTTGCGCCTTCGGATTACCATTTGTTTCGTTCCATGCAAAACTCTTTAAATGGTGAAATTTTTAACAACGCGGATGATGTCGGATCACACTTAATTCAGTTTTTTAATAGCAAAGAGGAGACATTTTACGAACGGGGAATTTTTACTCTGCCAGAACGATGGAAAAAGGTCATCGACAAGAATGGCCAATATCTAATTGAATAAAGTTATATTTTTAAACAAAAATTCCGAATTTGCCTTCTTATTTGAAATCGGCAATGACTTAGTTGCCAACCTAATATATATGAACTCGTTGCACTTCTGCTTCAATCTTAATTCCTCACTTCTCGCAGCTGAACTCCAGACTTCATTATATCTTACCATATGACAGTACGCGAACATCTTACTGCAATATTTCGTGGTTTCTGGGGTACGCGAAAGACTTACTTCCAAGTGGTGCATCCTGACCAACGTATATTCATACGGCGAAAAAGTCTATCACTCGGCATTTGATTTGACTTCTATATTATGATTAGCTTGAAACAAAGCTATAAGAGAAACCGACGTCGTCAGGGCGAATCATAACGTCTACAGATCCTTCAGTGGAATGCTGAAGGGATGTCAAGGACAAAAAAATTCAAATCCAGAAAACCCTAAAAACCTTTGATGTAGACATTTTCACAATTATGGAAGCAAACATTGATGACACTATGTAGTCCTACCAATTCCCAGGTTACACCCTGTACCTTCTACCTTACTACCCATTCCCAGGTTACACCCTGTACCTTCTACCTAGCCACCAATTCCCAGGTTACACCCTGTACAATCTACCTAAAGCCAATTCCTAAGTTACACCCTGTACCTTATACTTAAATACCGGCAAGTTGCAAGTGGAATTCTGACTGGAGTAAAAGAAGGCCTCACATCAAATAACGACCTAATCAAGAGTATGGGCTCGACAAAAGACATATGCGAAATAATCAGATTAAATGTTAGGAAATGTAAAAACCACATCAAGATATATGCAGTCTATAATCCACTCCAGAATAGTCCCAACATTGATTTTCTGAACATCTCACACAAATCTGTAGTATCGGGAGACTTCAACGCCCATTCCAACAGATTGGGCTCTAAGAATACAAACATAGCTGGAAAGGAAATCGAAGACTTGCTAAAAGAACTTATTCACACCGATGAGAATTCTGCTACATATCTGCTCTACCATGGAATCAGAACAACCCCTGACTTGCCGATGGCTTCAAGCGACATCAGCGAGCATACACGCCGCAAAATAATTGACGATACTGGTTCTTGTCACAAACCAGTCATTGTTAGTTTCTACATCGGCAGCAAAAGCATGAAAAGGAAAGTGCCAACTAAGCTATTAGCAAAAGCATGACAAGGAAAGTGCCAACTAAGCTATCATTGGCATAAGCATGACAAGGAAAGTGCCAACTAAGCTATCATGGAACCTTCAAAAGACAATGAAAGTGCCAACTAAGCTATCATGGAACTTCAAGAATAACTTCACACAAGTCCCCTCAATTTCAACCAGCAATTTGGTAAACCGTGCAACGAAATATCGAATATTTTGATCAGATGTGCAAAAAAACTATTTCCAGTGGCAAGACTAACACTATCGAGTGTTTTGGTCTGAACAACTTGAGAAACAGAAAAGAAAGCGGGACGCCATTTGCAACACTGCTGATCAGACTGGAAGAACGGAAGACGTCATCTGATCAGACTGGAAGAACGGAAGACGTACAAGCCTGGAGACGGCAGTCAGCTGTCCCAACGCAAGCCACCTTACGAGCTAAACGGACTTCCTTCGACAACTTCATCTCAAATATCAACTATCAGTGTGATACACAACGCATTTTAAATTCCTGGGTAACATCCAAAACAACACAGAAAGACGCAAGAAAAACCAATACGCTTCAACAACAAACTGCTTACCACCGACTCCGAAATAGCTAACTGCTTTGCGAGGTTCTATTCCCACAAGCAAAAGAAAACCCTTTTGTTGACTCTTCAAGAGATATAAAGAAACAAGTAAGACAGTTTGGCACAAGCAAAAGAAAACCCTTTTGTCAGAAAATCTTCAAGAGGTATTAAGATACACGTAGGACCGTTTGGTGAAATTAGGGAAGGCACAGCAATACCAAATAATGTAATTACTGAACTATTCAGACCTTGTGAACTTAATCCTGCGATAAAACAGCTAAAGTGCAATAAGTCTTCTGGCGAAGACGGTATTCATTCGGAATTTCTATTTAGAAAGGGACCAAAAGCCAAGGAAACCATGCTGACACTATTCAAAAAAATCTGGGAGACCGGGCTCGTACCTAACCAATGGAAAGTTGCCATAATATTACTAGTACTAAGGCCCTAGCAACTTTGACCACTATAGGCCTATCTCCTTCACAAGAGTGCTGGCTAAACTTATGGAAAAAATGGTTAACAGGAGTCTCACCTGGTTCACTGAGAACAACAATATCCTCGGACCTGGTTCCTTGAGACTAACAATATTCTTAGGAGTGAATCACCTGGTTCCTTGAGACCAGCAATATTCTTAGGAGTGAACCTATGAAAAGACTGGTTTACAGGAGGCTGACCTGGTTTCTTGAGACCAACAGTATTCTTAGGAGTGAACAAGCAGGTTTAAGGCCACAAAGATCAACGAACCAACAAGTAGTTACTTTCTGCAACGAACACACTTTCTTCCAACACATCAAAGATGCCCTTAATGCAAAAAATACCCTTACTCTCCCAACACACCAAAGATGCCCTTGATGCAAGAACTATTTTTAGGCCACAAAGATCAACGAACCAACAAGTAGCCACTTTCGCCCAACACATCAAAAATGCCCTTGATGCAAGAAATACTCTTTCTACTGCATTCATTGATTTCAAATCAACAAATGACTTGGCATGGAAAGAGAAGCTATTTCCAAAATAAGCAAAGATTGGTATAAAGCATAACATGATAAACTAGATAAAAGCATTCATTGGACAAAGATCATGTAAAGTCATTGAATAAAAGCATTCATTGGACAAAGATCATGTAAAGTCAGATGGCATTCATTGGACAAAGATCATGTAAAGTCAGATATGCAAATTCTCTGTCAAAATTCAATCTTTTACAAACAGGCCTTCCACAGGAAGTTGTCACAAGCTTCAATCTTTTCAATGTCTACATCAATGACATAGCTGAACTGGTACAGACAGTTACGGATATCAAATGCTTGTTTTATGCAGATGATCTTGTTCTATGGTATTCTGCCCCTAAGAAAAAATCTCAGAAGAGGACAGAAAGTGCCCTAAATTGTAAACTTAAACTACCAGCAAACTGGTGCGACAACAATGGAATGGTCATCAACACCGAAAAATTGCATTCCAAATATTTTTTTTGGCCCGTCAAATCATAAACCCACTTCTAAGGCACAAGGATACTACCGTAGAAAAAACCAATGAGTTTACTTATCTCGGAATGACGCTTGACATTAAGCTAACAAGGAAAAGTGCAATAGACTGAATTTACAGAATCATCTTGCTGGGAGCGTATGGGGCTGTGCACGCTCAACTCTCAACACCACTTACAAGATGTTTATTCAGCCAATAATGTTGTATTGCTATGAGCCACTCATTACAGCCACAGAGGTGACTCTCAAACCACTCGAGAAGGCACACAACCAAGCATTACGACCAATTACTGTAGGGATAAAATCAACACCCATTGATGAAATGCTCCTGGTTACACGGAGCACAACAATATGTTCCCTTCTCAAAGAGAAGGCCTTGATCCTGTATGATAAGCTACTGCGCATTTCCATGGATTAATTCTTCAGCATCGGGTTGTGCGATAGACTTACCTCCACGTGGTGCACACTGGGAAACGTATACTCATACGGCAAAAAAGGCTATTGGTCGGTAGTTGACTTCTGACTTCAAACTA